TCAGGTGTGTCGGCCCGGGCCGCCGCGGCGCGCGGGCGGTCAGCTGCTTCCTCGGCTACGCGCAAGAGCGACCCTGCAAGACCCCCGTCCGGGCCAGGGAGACGACCTGCAGTGGAAGCCCATGCCAAGGAACTTCCTGCTTGCCTCCAGGGTGCCCTGGGTTTCTTGGGTGTCGATGGTTTTGCCATGGAAAGCGTGGCTCTCCCATACACAAAATCGATGGGCATCCTGGGGTCTCAGGGTAGGGTTTCTTGTGGCAGGTGTCTTGTGGTCGAGCTGCTACTGCACCCCCTCGGGCCAAGGAGAAGACCCATGGCGAAGGCCCTCTCGCTATGCGCGGCCCCAAGGGGCCGGGCCTGGGCCCCGTTGAACAACGATCTCGGGGGCCTTGAGACGGGGTCCATGCAAACGGGGGTCTGCAAAAGTGCCAGATCCTGCGGGATCCAGCAGTGCCATGGTCGGATTTGCTCAGACACGCGTGCAGGATCCTGCAGGATCATGGCGTGCCCGATCCTGCGGGATCCTGCAGGGTCTTGCAGGGTCCTGCAATATGCCTGACTGGCCCAGGTTTGTAGTGACCCGGTTCAGTAGATCCCCGAGCAGCGATTGAGGATGAGAAACCAGTCCCGGGGAATGGGTCGAGACCTCTGGGGTCGGGTGCGGCCAAGTGGCGGGTAATGAGTATGGGGGGATAGATAACATGGTGGGGGCCACACTATTATACCCTGATTTCATGGCGCCTCTTCTCATTTCAATACATCCCCGGCTCCCCCTGGGCCGCGCACATGCCCCCGTCCATGATTTGCACCCTCCCCTTTGGACGTACCCCGCTTGGACCCCGACCCCCCCCGATGGGGGTCGACGTTCTGGAAACAAATATGTCGGGGGTCCCTTCGCCGTGTGGGGTCCGATTCCATCCGAGCGGTCCGATTCGATATCGATTCTGACTGGCCCCGTCGGACCAGACCGGTCCGATTCGACTCCGACATTCCGACGATCCGATGCGTCCCGACGCATGCATGGCGCCGTTGTGCATCTTGGCGGGGCCGATCCGATTCGATTTCGATTCCGTGCCGATGCAGCCTGAAGCCGACGCTCATTTCGATCCGATCCGACTTTCCGATTCGATGCCAACTGGTGTGGGGGGTGCAACCGTACCCCAGAAGGCGCTCTTGGAGGCTCTCGTCGATCCCAGAGTCTCTACGTGCTTCCTTGCACCGCGTCCCCGCGGCTGCGCCTCGCCAGGCGCGCCCGAGGATTCCCCCCACATCGCCCCGCGCGGCCGCCCAAGGCCCGAGTACCCAGACATGCGACGTCTCCCGAGGCGGGAATTTATCCAGATCCACCGCCCAGAGGGTCAGTTTCCGGAGCCTCGGCAGGCGGTGGATCTGGACATAATCCATATTATCCACCGCCCATAATCCATAAATCCCCCGGGGGCCGACATATATCCCCCGGGGGCCTAAATATGTCCATGATACCGGAGAAAAGACCCAATCATGGGGCTATAGGGCCATACGTCTATACGGCTATAGGGTTATAGGGCTACTGGGCTATAGGGCTATAGGGCTATAGAGCTGTAGGGCTATAGGGCTATAGGGCTATAGGGCCCCCCCAGGCACCCGGGCACCCCCGGGCACGCCCGGGCACCCGGGCACAGCACCCCCGGGCACCCCCTGGGCACCCGGGCACCCGGGCGTGCGGCGAAAATCGGCGTCAAGGCTAATTTGACCATATGAATCCGCCAGAACCCCTACAGACGCAAGTTCTGATTGGAGAACAATCCGTATGGATATGATCCATAATCCCCTGAGGGCCGAAATGTTTCCATAATCCACCGCCCGCTGGGGCACCAGGACGTCGGCTCCCAGGCGGTGGATGTGGAGGAATCCCCGCCTCGTATCAGTGCGCGGTCCCCAGAAGGTCCCGACCCTGTCTCGGGGGAGCGTAGGACCCGGGTTTGCCGGGACTCGGGTTCGCCATCGTTTTTTGACGACCGCGCCTCGGATTTTGACGAGGAGGAGTTTCGTGGGATGTCTGCAGCGGGAGGCCTCGTCAAAATGCAGGCTCGGCCTCGTCTTTTTCTTGACGACCTCGTCGGGGATTTCCGAGTCCCCCGTACCCGGGTCTTACGTCTCCCCGACTGTCCCAGGGGCCGGCTGCTCATCCGCGGTCGTTACCTGACGACCCAGGGGCCCACGGACGGCGCCGAGATGCCGAGAACGGTCGAAACGAGTCCCGTCCCGATGTTTTCGTGGCGCGAGCATGCCCAGGTCACGATGGAGGGTTTCTCCGAAGGGCTTAGGCAACCCGTCCTCCTCCCTCCTCCCTCCTCCTCCTCCTCCTCCTCCTCCTCCTCCTCCTCCGTCTCCTCCCTCTCCCCCTCCCCCACCTCCTCCTCCCTCTCCTCCTCCTCTTCCTCCTCCTCCCCCTCCTCCTCCTCGGGTCGCCCACGGCCCCGGGAGAAACCGTGCAGGCCACGACCCGAACGCAGAGCGACCCTTCGCCGGAGTGATCCCCGGCGCGCGTCTTCCGGGCGTTGCGGGGGAGGCAGACAACAGCAGAAGCATAACAATTCGGAGGTCCGCGCCGATTCCTCGCATCGGCGCCCGAGGCAATGCTGGGCGGGCCCAGCGCCGATCCCAAGAAGCCTGCGCGAACCTCAGAGTTTCTATGTTTGTTGGGGGGCCACATGCGAACCCTACCCCTACCCCCCACGATTTCTGAGGGGGAGGGTGGGGTTGACGACGTGCGGGAGTTCCCGAGCGAAGTGAACCCCACCCTCCCCCTCAGAAATCGTGGGGGGTAGGGGTAGGGTTCGCATGTGGCCCCATATTTGTGGTGTCGCTTGCTCCCCCGCTGGCGGGCGGGAGATTCAGTGGGACCCCAGAAGTTCGCGCTTCGACCGCGTCTCGGCGCTGAGCTTTCACGTGTTAAGTCGGGCCTGTCCCCCTACAGGGGGATTTTCGACGAAAAATAAAACATACCTTTTAGAATAGTGCAAAAATAGTCGGGGGACTACTTTTTGAGTATTCTTTGACCCTTTTGGAGCATTTCTGGGGTATGTTTAATTTCTCGTTGAAAATCCCCTTGTAGGCCCGACATAATTCATGTGTATGTCGTTGCCTGTTCCCCTTGAGCGGGGGGGCCACACCTCCGCGCGGCGGGGCCGCCCGCGGCGCGCCTCGCGCGCGGCGAGCGGCGCGCGCCGCGCGTCGGGGGTCACCCTTCGGGACGGTCGACGTGGGCACGGAATGCCGGGGTGTGGTCTGCCGTGGGCGCCGTGGAGGCCGTCTCAGAAGGCTCGGAAGGCCCCCAGCCTTCTTATCGACTACACGTAAGAGTGACCTTTCGCCGGAGTGATCTTTGGTGCGGGCACAATGGGGTCCCCCGATCACCGATTGCGATGCGATAGTAGCGTCTTGCGCGCCTGAGTTTGGTACCCCCGCGGCCCCCCAAAAGCCGCGCACCAAAGGTCACTCTTCCGCAGGGTCACGCTTGCGTGGAGCCGATCTTAGGAGTTTTCTAAGCCTTCCCCGAAGACGCAGGAAGCCTGTCAGAAGAACAGAGGCCTCCTGAAAACCCCCTTCGCCTTCCGAGAAGGCCTTCTCCTTCTCACCTCCCCCTCGCTCACCGCCGAGATCAGGGGTGGAGGTGCGCATAGGGGGGGGACGCATCGACCCCGAATCTCGGGGACTACAAAGGGTGGGGTTACGCCGGGGTGTGGTTTGCAATGGGCGCCGTTGGGGCCTGGGGGGCACGACGCTGTCCTCGTCAGGCCTCCTCGGGGCGCGGCGGAGAGCCCTGTCGAGGTCCCCGCCCGCCCCCAAGGGTGCCCCCGCAGGGTGCCTGTTGCAGGCCACATCCTTTGCAAACCACGCCCTCGCGCCGCACGGGGTTCGGGACGATCGAAATGTGTACGGAAGAAGTGGGTAATTACAAAGACCAATCGCATTTCCTCTTCATGTTGTGCAGAACTCGCTGTCTGTGTCGCCGCGGACGTTGTACACTTGAGACGGCGAAGGCCGCCTGCCCAGCAGCGACCGCGGCCGGTTTTGGGCAACCTTGTTGTTGGGCATCGTGCCCATTTTGGTGTGTACCTATCTCTGGCTCGGCGGCGAGCGAGGGGGGGAAGTGAGAAGGAGAAGGCCTTCTCAGAAGGCTCGGAAGTCCCCCGGCCTTCTGAGAAGTTTTCTAAGCCTTCCCCGACGACGGACAAAAACTTCTCAGAAGGCGCGAGGGCTTCTGAGAAGTCCCGTCACATTCTGAGAAGGCCTTCTCCTTCTCATTTCCCCCCTTCGCTCGCCGCCAACTGGCGTCCAAGACCCTTTTTTGGGAGTCAATCTTGCGCGTAGCGGGCCTTCTGCCACAGCGCCGCCCGGGCTGGGCGCCGCGAGGGCTGCCTTTGCGAGCGCTGTGACCGTGCTGGTCGCCGCCGGCATCTCGGGGGGCAGACAGAGGCGTGAGCAGAACAATTCGGAGGTCCGCGCGGCTTGCTCGGATTGGTGCTTCCATCCCTCCATGGCGCTCGGCGCGCCAGGGGCGGCGCCGGAGGCGCCTCCAGGGGGCCCTGGCGCCGATCTCAGGAATGTGCGCGGACCTCCGAGCTTTTCATGTTTGTGTCACTGTTTGTTTCCCTGGTATCGCGCTGGTGCTGCGAACGTGACGCTGAGCGCCTTGGCTGCACCAGCAAGTCTGGCGAAGTCAGCTTTGTCCTTGTGATGGTGTACACCTGGCTTGCGCCAGCATGTCGTATACACCGTGCAATCGTCCACCATGGCCTTGGCCACGCATGGTGGTTGCAGTGTGTATGTACGAGCCGGCCTCAGGTGGCGAATCATTGGTTCGTGCCATGAAGGGGAAAGACAACATTGTACACAGGTTCCGTTCTTTGTCCCCTCTGGGCCGCTTCTCCAGACGGGAGTTGCCGAGTGTGTTCCGTTTCCCCGCCCGCTGGTTCTGTTTGTGCCGATCCAGAGCAGACCCCTCAGCCGCCTCCAATGTATATTGTACCCTCTGCTTATGATGTAGACTTGCTGGGCAAGGCGGGCTCGAGTGAACAGGTGCTTCGATGTGCATCCGCGCTCGCCGCGCTCTGGCCTGTCACGTCTCTCCTCCGTTGTGTGCAGTATCGAGGCGTTGCGAGCGGCGACGTTGGAGGGCGTCCCGTGCACACCTGCGCCGATCCCAGCCAGGCCGATCCTGGCCCAGGATCTGTGTGCACGTCTTCCTGGCCAAGCCAGGAGGGCCTGTGGCCCTCGATGGGCGCGGCCCGCGTCGGTGTAGGTGCAGCTCTGGCGCCCGGCAGGGGCGAATTCGTCCGTTCGGGCCAGATGCCGGCTTCGCGAAGCCCAGGACGCGCGCATGGAGTGCAGCAGGGGGTGCATGCATGAAAAGCGCAGCACCCGCGGCTCCAGCGCGCGAGGGGAGGCGGGTCGAGACGGCAGGTCGCTGCCTGGGCCGCGAGGTCTCTGCCGCGCATCCCCCGGTCGAGGCGGTGGCCAGGAGAAGGGCGCCCGGTGGTGGATGCCAGTTGCAAGTTCGGCGGCTTCGCTGGGCGCCGCTATGCTGGAGTGTGGTTTGCGATCCACGCCGTCGGGGCCCAGGGGTCACGACGTTTCGCCGAGGGTGCTCGACGAGCCCTCGTCGGGGCGCGGCAGGGAGCTCTGGCGGTGTCCCCGCCCGCCCCTGAAAAGGCGCGGGTGGCTAGCCACGCCCTTTGCAAACCACACCTCTCGGAGTCGCCTGCAAGTCTTGGGGAGTTCTGGATATCTAGTCGCTGCTTGTTTTGCTTCGTGGGGCTGATCGCCAGGCAGTGAGAACCGGAGGCCCTGGCGTGAGACACTTAGGAGTGACTCGATATCACGGTAACCACTGGAGTAGGGATTGAGGTTGTGCGAGCGAGATACGATTGAAGTCGGGGTCCCATTTGGTCAGATGTTGTGGCGCTCCCCAAAGGACATTCACAGTCGTCGTCCCCGCGGTTTCCCGAATCGGTGGGTTTGCAAAGCAGTACAGTTTGAAGGTGTAGTGAGAAGATGTTGGCACATGGTCACGCTCGTTGGCTGGCGTGGTAGTGGGGAGCACCAGACATTGTGAGGCAGCCTGTTGTGACGACCCGCGTTCATGACCAGGCAACTCGTAGACGGTGACTGGGGCGAACGAGCTTGGAGGGAGTGCGGCAAGCGTTGACGTCAGAGTCCAAGTCAGCAGTTTTGAAGATTGGTAGAGTTGAGGGCTCTATCGTTGTGTTTTCGCGTGCGAATCTGCTGTAACTGACAGGAGCGTTGGCCATGTATGCATCCTCATTTGGCAGGGTCATCGTGTGGGGAAGGCGTGCTCAGCGTGCTTGCTCTCAGTGACGGCCTTGCCGCAGGCAACAGGCTTGCTCCCACCATGTTCAGGTTTTGCCTCCCGCTTTGTCCGGATTACCTATTGCAGGCGTTCCGCCTCATAGCGTGTCTTTACGTGGACGATATCGCGCTGCGAGCCGTGGCTTGGGAGGCGCAGGCGTTATCCATGCTGCCTCTGGCCATGCGGCTTTTCTTTTGGATCGTGGAGTCCTTCCTGGGCCCCGAGGTGCCCCGCAGCAGGGTCGGAGTCCATGGCAAATACAAATAATAAGAAGAATACTAATACTAATCAGAAGACGAATTATAATAATAGCAATAAAAAGAATATGAAGACGCGTAATACGACGAAGCATAATAATACAAACAAAACTAATAATAATAAGAAGAAGCGGATGAGGAGGAGGAGGAAGAGGAGGAGGAGGGGGAGGAGGGGGAGGATGGGGAGAGGGGAGGAGGGGAGGAGGGGGAGGAGGGGGAGGGGGGGAGGGAGGACGGGGAGGAGGTGAGGAGGGGAGGAGGAGGAGGAGGAGGAGGAGGAGGAGGAGGAGGAGGAGGAGGAGGAGGAGGAGGAGGGAAGGAGGGAGGGAGGGGGGAGGAAGGGGGAGGAGGAGAGGAGGAGAGAGGGGAGGAGGGGGAGGAGGGGGAGGAGGGGGGAGGAGGGGAGGAGGGGGAGGAGGGGGAGGAGGGGGAGGAGGGGAGGAGGGGGAGGAGGGGGGGAGGGGGAGGAGGGGGAGAGGGGGAGGGGGAGGAGGGGGAGGAGGGGAGGGGGAGGAGGGGGGGGAGGGGGGAGGAGGGGAGGAGGAGAGGAGGAGGAGGAGGAGGAGGAGGAGGAGGAGGGGAGGAGGAGGAGGAGGTAGGAGGAGGAGGAGGAGGAGGAGGAGGGAGAGGAGGAGGAGGGGAGGAGGAGGAGGAGGAGGAGGAGGAGGAGGAGGAGGGAGGGAGGGAGGAGGAGGAGGAGGAGGAGGGAGGAGGAGGAGGAGGAGGAGGAGGATGAGGATGAGGAGGAGGAGGAGGAGGCGGAGGAGGGAGGAGGAGAGAGGAGAGCGGAGGAGAGAGGAGGAGAGAGGAGGAGAGCGGAGGAGGAGAAGGAGGTGACGAGGCAACTTCACAATGGTTGTGGGGTGGGGGCTCGGTGCGCCCACCGCTCACGCGCGCGCACACGTGCGAGGCACGCCCTGGCACAGGAGCCAAGGCCCTCGCCTCGAGCATCCTCCACGACGGCATCGAGCCCAGCAAGGCCGACGCCCTCGCCGTCGCGCCCGTCGTGGCATGGGCTACAGAGGCGCGGGACTGTCACGACGGAGAGGGCGGCCTGTGCTGACCGCGTGGGGCAAAGTCGGCGGCCAGGTGCACGAGCTGAGGGACCACGCTCCTTCCTCGTGGGCCGTTGCTGGGGGCCTTGCTGGGACCACCCTGGCATCGGTCCGCGTTCGGGGTTGGCGCATGCTGGCGCGCTTCGTCCTCGCTCTGCCTGGCTGTGGAGGGACCAACCACGGGGGCCCAGTCGAGCTGGAGGTGCCGAAGGTACGCTCCCAGTCGTCGGAGGAGGCCGTGCTCGACTCCCAAGAGGCAGGCCGCCGTGCAGCAGCGGCCAGTGCGAGCGACGGCAGCGCACCGCTCAGGCCACTGCCGCGGGTGACTCCAGCGAGGCAGCTCATCCCCAAGAGGAAGAAGGACGTCTGGACCTTAGTGGGCCCTGGAAACTACAGGGCAGTTTTTTTACCCGTTCCGTTTTGCCGTTTTTGTTGCCGGTTCCGACGCCGTTGTGTTACCGGTTCCGTCGCCGTTTTTTGACCGGTTCCGGCTCCGGCTCCAATCTTGGAGCCGTTTTTGTTGCCGCTTCCGGTCGCCATTTTTGTTGCCGTTTCCACTTTCAAGGGGCATTTTTTGGGGAGACGGTGAAAAAAACGCCTTGCCATTTCCGGGGCCCAATAAGGTCTGGACTACGAGACACACCGACTCGGTCAAGAAGGCCGTGGTCGGAGGCTCTTCTGTCTCAAGAGGCCCTCTACCTCAGCCGCGCGAGCGCCGACCTGCGCTTGCAGCACTCCCTCTGGAAGTGCGGCAGGCAGTGGTATGCGCGCGGTCATGGAGGCCCTTGCGCAGCCCCCGAGCGAGCTCAGCTCCACCGACGTTTGCCACCGGGGGGCCACGGCGGTTGCTTCGGCGGAGGCCCCGGGAGCACGCCACGCCACGTCCTGGCGCGGCTTCTCCCGCAGCAAGAGGCGCATGGGATTCAGTGCGGGGCCCGGGCGGGGCTCAGCGGGGTCCTCGTCTCGGGCGGCTCGGTGAAGGGCTCGGAGGAGCTGCGTCATGATGACTGGGCCGCGCTGCTAAGCCACGAGGAGGCGGACATGGTAGTGCAGGACGTCTACGGCCCGCGGCCCTTCCCTGACTCGAGTTCAATGCTGGAGTAGCCGCGGGGCCTCCGCCACGCCCTGATGCATGCGGTGTTCACGACGGCGATCATCATCGACAATTCGCAGGCAGCTGGTGGTCTTGCGCGAGGCAGGGCATGGCGCATGCCGGCGGCGAGGCCACGCGCCCACATTTGGGCCGGTGCTTCCTGGTCATCAAGGTCGCCTCCGCCCTCTCGGCCAAGAGCGTCAGACTTGGATAGGCCCGCTCATGGATAGGCCCGCTCGACGGATTCGTCGTCACTGAAGGAAATGGCCCGTTGTAAGACGACCATGTGAAAATTCTGAAGATCGCCACAACGCCATTCTTGAGATTGCAGCGCCGCGAATCACCTTGACTGTTGTGAGCACCTGGGGTCTCACAGGAGCAGCGCGCGCAGAATCTGTCAGTTGCAATGCTGTTTTTCTAGTTTTTGTTTTCCAAACGGAAGGAAAATCAGCACATTGGGAACCCGAATGCTACAGCGTTTGCTTAAAGCGTTTTTGATGCAATAAGAAAATGCCAGTCGCCGATCGCATTTGGATTCGGTTGCGCGGGCTCGACGGGCGATCGAACATGCAAAACGCTCCTACAGAGCATAACCCCAGCGCCCCTAGCAGGCGCGCAGTGCATCACATCTTGGGAACTTGCTTGCTGTGGTAAGCGCGCCGCGCAATTTGATTTGAAATCTGCCTTCAAACTGCCTCGCGCGGACAGCAGGGCCCCCTTGCTCGCGGGAAAGATGCAGACCCCCCCGTGACTTACAATTTGACTGTTGCTCTTTGACGAGCGTGAGTTCTGCCAGATCGCCACTTCTACGAAACAGTGTGACTGTCGCGCCTGGACAGTCCGACGTCGTGTCGATACACCGTTTCTGACGCGTTACCCATGATAACGCTTGGAACTGTTGTAAATTATTGGAACGAACGTGTGCGGCGCAAGGTCGACCGCCATCTTTTGATAAAGAACCGCCGTGTTTCCGTGAAGCTCTTGCTTTTAGTGTGAAGAAAGCCAGCGGCGCTTCGGCGAGAGTCACATGTTGAACAGGATCCGCCCTCCATCCGTGAAGCTTTACATATTTGGTTTGGCGAATGTGCGCGGCGCTGTGGCGAGAGCTACATTATGAAAGTGGACCTCCTTCCATTCGCGAATATCCTGCAATGTTCTAAAACGACTGTGCGAGACGGTAAGGCGAGACCCACATGTTGAAAATTATTTGTCGTCAGTCCGTTGAAACTCTTTCAGTATTTTAAGACGGATGTTTGCTTCGTTAAGACGAGAATCACATCTTCAAATATATGGTTAAACGTTTTCGTTCTCACGATCCTAAACGGGGAGAAATTCTTCAGCCAAGCGCCAGGACCGCCCCTCCGACTGGCTCCGGGGTGCGACATGGAGGTGTTGTTGACAAGGAAAAGCAATAGATGGGGGAGGAGGAGGACGAGGAACATGACGATGAGAAGGAGGTGGGGGAGCACCAGTGCCAAGCCACGGCTCATCAACAATCGTGCAACACACCTTCCCTCCAAGCCTTTTTTTTTCGCAGGGCCCTACGAGGATTCATTACAGCGATGGAAGTACCCCGTCGGAAAGCAAACGTTTTTCAAATCACGAACTGTGCCTGGGCTCATCCTTGGGACTTCCACGCTGCGAATCACCGTGTCTGTTGCGTCTTGACGATGCTGCATCGTGCCGGTCCGCCATTCCTGGGATGCCAGCGCCGCAATTCAGCTCGACTGTTGCGCCCTGGCATTCCGACAGCGTGCCAGGCACCGGTTCCGGGACGCTCATCCGGAGAACCCTTGAAACGGTCGCGAACTCTTAGACCGAATGTGCGCGACGCCGGGGCGAGAGCCACAGTTTGACAGCGGACCGCCGTCCACCCGCGAAATTGCTGCAGACTCTTTGCCAAGGGGGGGGCCATGTGCTTTTGAACGCGGACCGCCCTCCATCCGTGAAATGGTTGGAAACCTGTAAGTTGAATGTGCGCGACGCTAAGGCGAGAGCCACTTTTTGAAAGCGGACCGCTTTCCATTCGTGAGAGTTCCGCGTTTTCAGCTTCAGGAACATACATGGTGAGGAAGTCTCAGGCGGAACGCCCGGCCCTCTCTTTCGACCGTCCTCGGTGTGCGTTAAGAGGGGGGCTATTTTCAAGTGAAAGAAATGGAGGAGGAGGAGGCCGCCAGCCACCCGCCATTCTTCTGTATCAAATCATGGGAGCTTGGTATATGTACCCCCTTAAATCTTCCGTCTTTAACGTCGATCAGCGTCTGGGAGCCATGAGATAACGCCAATTCGGGTCGGCTGGCGTCGATCAGCGTCGATTTGGCGTGGACTGGCGTCCATCGCAAGAGCCGACAAGATGGTATGGGAGGCTCCCGTGAGTTACCATCAAACCCTTCCTTCGGATGCAATTCTTGGGAGGTCAACTTCTGATTTAGCTCTGGTCCGAAATCCCGCTTAACCCGGCTCGATCACGCTCAGTCCCGCATGATCAGGCTGAATTCCGCTGAATCCCGCCTCATCCGGCTCCATCCCGCTTGATCCGAGGCCCATTCTGGCTTAACAGCCCCCCAGTGGGGTTTCATCCTCCTTGATCCTTCCGACGAAGACCTCTCATAAGTTGCTTCCTGACCTTGCAACGAGGCTACACGACGCCCTTTGCCTTTTCGACGAACTTCACGTTGAACGTTGGCGCGCAATCATCGCCTTTGGCTGCACTGTGGGGGGGGAAAAATAGTTGCTTCCCGACCTTCCCTCCCCCCCCCTTGCCACAACCCTCGTCGCCTCCCAGCGCGCCCGGGCCTGGGCGCGGGCCCGCGGCGCCGGCGCCCGGCAGAGGGGCCAGGGCGCGGCCGGATGGCGAAGGAGAAGAAGGAGTCCACGAAGGATCGGGCTGAGTCGAGGGAGGAACATAGGAGAACGAAGAATGACATAAACACAATAGCTCGGAGGTCCGCGCGGATTTCTCGGATCCGCGCTGGACCCCCCTGGCGGCGCCTCCGGCGCCGCCCCTGGCGCGCTCCGCGCTCTAGGGAGGGGGGTCCAGCGCGGATCTGAGAAATCCGCGCGGACCTTCGAGTTTTTATATTTATGCCACTTATTGTTCCCCTAGAAAAGCCATCCCGACCCCGACAATTGGCGTTTACTAAACGGCTCTGGGCGTTTACTGAACAGGCCTGCCCTGTCTGATGTCTTCCTTGGGTGCGTGTACTAGACGGCTTCGCTCGTCGGGGGGCTTGTTCTGGGGGTGGATGTTCTGCTCTCTGCTGAGGGCAACGGCTCTGTCATGGCTCCGGCTGCGGCTCCTTCTGTAGCAGCTCGTGCCAGCAGGCAGAATGCCATCGCGAGGGTCCTCAAAAAAAGCACCGAGAATATACATATAACGGCGCACCGGGTCCGGGGGCCCGGGGCCGGGACCCCGACCGCAAATGTGGGCTCCGGGGGGCCCGGAGGCTCGTCGGGGCTTGCCGGAGGCCTCCCCGGTCAGACAAGACGGCCCCAGGAACGCCCAAGACGGCCCAAGAAACTTCCAAGAGGCCTCCAAGAGGGCTCCGAGATGCTGAAGATGGCCTCCAGACGTCCAAGGACGCCCCCAAGAGGCCCCAAGAAGCCTCCAACATGCGTCCCAAGAGGGCCCCTAGACGCAAAAATTGGCCCATTCCCTTCGTAAAACGTACATTTTCAACAAAGTTGCTTTTGGGCTTTCCGACGTTACAGGACGGCCCAAGAGGCGCCCAAGACCGCCCCAAGACGGCCCAAGAAGCTTCCAAGAGGGCCCCAGGACAGCCCAAGAGGGCCCCAAGACGGCCCAAGAGGCGCCCAAGATGGCCCAAGAGGGCCCCAAGACGGGCCCAAGAGGGGGCCCAGAGGGGGACCACGAACCGCAAGCTCGAGCCTTCCGCCCCAAGAGGCCGCCAGGAGGCCCCCAGGAGGCCCCTCAAGAGGCCCCAGGAGACCCCAGACGTCCAAGGACGCCCCCAAGAGGCCCCAAGAAGCCTCCAACATGCGTCCCAAGAGGGCCCCTAGACGCAAAAATTGGCCCATTCCCTTCGTAAAACGTACATTTTCAACAAAGTTGTCTTTTGGGCTTTCCGACGTTACAGGACGGCCCAAGAGGCGCCCAAGACCGCCCCAAGACGGCCCAAGAAGCTTCCAAGAGGGCCCCAGGACAGCCCAAGAGGGCCCCAAGACGGCCCAAGAGGCGCCCAAGATGGCCCAAGAGGGCCCCAAGACGGGCCCAAGAGGGGGCCCAGAGGGGGACCACGAACCGCAAGCTCGAGCCTTCCGCCCCAAGAGGCCGCCAGGAGGCCCCCAGGAGGCCCCTCAAGAGGCCCCAGGAGACCCCAGACGTCCAAGGACGCCCCCACGACGCTTCGCGTCACCAATTTCTTCTCACAACGATTCCTGGGTCTGTGACTCGACAGAACCTAAAGCGCGCGCGAAGCGCGCGCGTGGTTCTAGTATCAATGTAGATCTGCACATGAAAAACCACAGGGCAGAAATACGAGGGTTGTTTGTTTGGTATTGTATCGCAGATTTTTTTGTTGTTCCCACTAGGATGTTTGTAACACCCTCGGTTTTGAATACCCTCGTTTTTCGTTTCCCTCGTTATTTTTAACAAAAAATGTTTAGACAAGAAATATCCTCCTAATATGACAACGAACTGGTGTCCTTTTCCTTGAACTTTCGCGTAACCCCACCAATCCATCCAGAAACGATGCCAAAGCAATTGTCCCTGACCAGAAGGATGAAGAGGAGGAGGAGGGGGAGGAGGGAGGGCGAGCAGAAAGGCCAGAGGGTTTTTGGATGCCTCTCGGGGTCTCTTCGGATGTCTCTTGAGAGCTTTTGGGATTTGTCTTGGGGCGTCTTGGGGGCCTCTTGGCGGTCCCGCGGGCCTTTTGGAGCGTTGTGTGCCTTTGGAGTCTCTTGGGGACTGTTGGGGACTCTTGGGGGTTCTTGGAGCATTCTTGGGAGCATCTTGGGGGCCTCTTGGGGCTTCCTGGCCGCTTCTTCGGGGCACTCACGGGAGCCTCGAGGGCCATCTTGGGGCCATTTTGGAGGTGATCGATCAAAGAAGAGGGGTACTTAACTAGGGCCCCCCCCAGGAGGCTAAAGTGTAGCCCAAAGTGATGTAACATCAATGATTTGGCTTGCTCGTCGAGGCCGTCTTGGACGCTCCCATAGGTCGCGAAACGCCCCGTCCAGATCCAGGGGGAGGCGGTGTTCAGGGGTGCATCGCTCCCCCAAGGCGAAGAAGTGGGATGGGAGAGGAATCGCTCTAAACTTCTCACTCCGTCAGGGACTGGTGGGAGTTAGTTTTCTGTTGCTGCAAATTCCCTGAACATCTGGGCAGCTTCGTTTGACACACCTGGAGAAGACTATGATCCTCAATGTTGTTGGGTCATCCTGTCTCTTGGTCATGTTCGCTGCGTTAGGTTGCCTCTTCTTTCCGGGTGTGGCTTGTCGCTGGCCCACTGGGATGTCACCCCCCACAGTGGTGACGAACAGATCTTCTCCGATAGCCACACCCCGTTTTTCTCCATCTGTCTTTCTCTGACCTCTTGTTGTGGCAACAAAAAAGGTGTAGGTACCGTCTCAAAGGGTTAGGGCTACTTTTACTGCACATCATGATGGGAGCCCTGCATGTCCACGGGTGTCCGCATTCCGAGCTCCTTGGCGTGCCTTAGTAATTGGTGTTCAATGCGAAAGCGCCGATCTACAGTCAACCACCCTAATGAGGACGCGCGACTTTGCTCAGGGTACCCTTGCGTCCTTGCTCTTCCTTGCTCTTGCGTCCTTGGGGTTTTTGTCGTCCGTCGCCCCAAAAATCCCAACTTCGGCTTCCAAGGGTCTTGCGTCCTTACCGCGCGTCCTTATTATGGTTTTTGACTGTATCATCGGTTGGCGTACATTCGGCGTCGATTCTCAAGAGCCAGCAAAGTGACTCTGGAGGCTCCCCTGTTTGGCCACAAAAGGCTCTGCCACGGCTCCGGCTCCGACTCCTGCGCGGGCTCCGTCTCATGCATGGGCTCGGGCGTGGCTCCAGCTCCAGGTTTGGGTCGGGGTCCGGGTCTTGGTCCGTGTTCGTGGGGGGATAAGAAACGTTGGTGGATCGAGGATTGCATAAGGTAGCCCTAAAAGGGGCCTAGCAGGTCCCGTACCTGCCTCCGCGGGCCCAAAAGGTGAAAGCAAGGTGCACTTTTCTGAACCCCCACGTTCAGTGCACCCCTTCTAACGAACAATCCGGAGGAGTCCGCTACGCCCCCCCCGTCCTCAGGCTGTTTTCTTTGTTGCGGCGGGAGTTTGATGCGCTGCGCCGCCCCGTTGGGTGGGCAACGATGGCCTTCCCTGCCCCAAAGCAATCAAAGAAGCGGTGGCCGAACATTCCTCGAATTTGGCGGGTCTTTGAACACGGCAGGTTCGCGTCGTGCCGACCAGCGGCGACCCCGCCGAGGGCGTTCAAGGTTGAACGCCGCCGGTGGCCCAGAGTCGGCCCATCTGGAACGATCGGGCGATCGAAAGGCCGCCGATCGTTCAGGGTTGAACGACTCACGCAGTGTCAGGAGCCAGCGCGCGACCTCATTGGAGCCATCTTCGGAGAAGCGGCGAGGGAAGCGTGGGGTCCAAGGGCGCCCTCGAGGGCGCGAAGTTATTCGCGCTTCGCGGTTCGGCTCCGATTCCTCCTCTTCCTCCGTTTCTTCCCTGGGAGGCGGCGCGAGAGCGCGAAATTATTCTCACTTCGCGCTTCGCGCAGCGCGAAGCGCGAAGCTGGGAGCCCTTGAAGTCGGGCACGTCCCTGCGCAGGAGGAATTATTCGGCAGAAGTAGCGAAGCAATCCGGGGACGAGTTTTCGATTCTCTCTGATGATGGTTGAGTTTTTGTTGGTCATTCTCGCTTCCTTCCAAAGTCCGCCTGCAGAAGGACATGCCCGGCCCGATGCTGGGCCCGGGAAAGGCCCGGCCAGGGCGGGGCGTCTTTTACAGTCGGGGCGCTGAAGAAGGAACTCTTTTCATTTGGCAGGGGCTCCGTGTTCCTCATCTTGGCATCGCTCGGACGTGTGCATGTTTCCATCGGCGAGTACCATCGAGGAGCATCCTTGATCATTTGGCGAAAAAGCCACGCACGAAACCGAACAAAGCATAGGGAATGTGCGTCCGAGCGATGGCCAGTGTCTGTCACAGTTAGCTGAGAAGTCAAAGTTTAACTTCTGGAGACAAGGGGCCTCGTTCCTTCTTTGGGTTCCTTCGGTCAGCGTCTCGACTGTAGAGTTGGCCCCGTCCAACGCTACGCCCGCCCCCCCCGTCCTTGGGGCAGATTCCCCGATGTTCAAGGCCAGGCAGGCGTGGCAGAAGAAGGAGGAGAGCAACATGCAGTTCATGGTTGGATGCTAGCGCCCGTCATGTAATGTTTGATCTCATGGCGTCTGGCTGCCTGTCGCGAAGCATACTGGAATCGAGTTTCGGTGCCTCGTTCCTCATCCCTCAACTACCTTCTTTCCACGACCATTATTCCCCTCCTCCGTTGCCCCGCCTTCGCCGTCACCCTACTACGCTTCCATCCCCCTGGCCTTTCCCCATGTTGCGTCCCCCTCCTTCTCCTCGCGCGTGCGCACACACTCGAATCATAAACATCTGCAGACACATGAACTTTTGGAGGTCCGCGAGGAGTTCTTGTATCGGCGCCTGGGCTCGCCCCCCCTGATGGCGCCTCTGGCGCCGCCCCTGGCGCGTTCCGTGCGCCAGGAACAGGGGTCCAGCGCCAGTCCAGGAGATCCGCGCGGACCCCCGACAGCTTGTGTTTGAGCCTCTCCCTGGTCCTCCAACGAACTCGAGTGACTCCTCGGGCATTTCTGTTCACCAATGGGGCTATCAGTATCATCGTGTTGTCTGTGCCCCTTGTGGCTCGGAGCAGAGGTGGCAGGTACAAAGCCCCAGTGCCAGCTCTGTCGGCGGGCCATCTGCACCGAGAATTTGCACTGCATCGTAAAAACAGCGACTCCTGACAGCCCATCTCGTTAACCTTGCCACGCCGGCAACTTCTCCCGTTCCAGGCCCCGAGCCGCTCCCCCCCCCTCCCACTTCGCCAGCCCGCCCGACACTCACCCCTTGCCGGAGGCCGAGCGCCTCCCGACCGTGGTTGCCCGATCTTGATCCTCTTCGAAACCGTTGCTGATGGGTCGGGCGACAGCCCGTGTTCGCATGCGATCTATTTCCCCAAACTCAGATGTTTCTTTTTACCATTTTCTTGGCGTCTGACGCCTCAGCGCGAGCGAGATGTCATGGGGTGGGTGCGTGGAGCAAGGTGCGCCGAGGCGCCCCAGCGATATGGGAGGTGCCCTCGGGGCGCCCGCGGCGAGCCCCAATGGTCGCCCAGTGGCCGCGCGGGGAGTTGGAAATCCGGCCGCCCAGCCATGTCCACCCTACTTATGTGCGTCCTGTTCCAGTCTGGCCCGTTTACCCTTCGGACAATGGTCGGCGAGGCAAGCGGTGCAGATGCCATCGGCGCATTCCGGTCCGATTGGACATTCGGCCCGTTGACTAGGGCAAAATGTGGCTCAGTGGGAAGGGGGGAGTGGTCGGACGTCAGATGTGGCGCGAATGCGCATAGCTTGTCCCTCACCATCTCTCCCCCCGCCTCCCTTCGCGGGTTCGGCGTGGGCGACAGCGCGGGGCAATTCCTTCCGCGCCTTCTCACTTCCTCTCCAGGTGGGGGCCGCGGGTCCGGACGTCGTGATACGTCTCAATTGTGGCCTCAGTTTCCTGCGTCGCCAGAGGAGGAGCAAGAGGCGGAGGAGGACGAGGACGAGGACGAGGACGAGGACGAGGACGAGGACGAGGACGAGGACGAGGAGGAGGAAGAGGAGGAGGAGGACGAAGACGAGGACGAGGACGAGCAGGAGCAGGAGGAGGGGGAGGAGGAGGAGGAGGAGGAGGAGGAGGAGGAGGAGGAGGACGACGACGACGAGGAGAGGAGGAGGAGAGGAGGAGGAGGGAAGGAGAAGGAGGGGAGGAATAGGAGGAGGAGAGGAGGAGAGGAAGGGAGGGGGGAGGAGCAGAAGGAGGAGGAGGAGGAGGAGGAGGAAGGAGGAGGAGGAGGTGAAGGAGGAGGCGGAGGAGGAGGAGGAGGAGCAGGAGCAGGGCAGGACAGGAGCAGGAACAGGAGCAGGAGCAGGAGCAGGAGCAGGAGCAGGAGCAGGAGGAGGAGGAGGAGGAGGAGGAGGAGGAGGAGGAGGAGGAGAAGGAAGGAGGAGGAGGAGGAGGAGGAGGAAGGAGGAGGGAGGGGGGTTGGGGAAGGAGGAGGAGGAGGAGGAGAGGAGGAGGAGGAGGAGGAGGACGAGGAGGAGGAGGAGGAGACGAGGAGGAGCAGGAGGAGCAGGAGGAGGAGGAGGAAAAGGAGGAGAGGAGAAGACGAGGAGGAGGAGGAGGAGGAGAGGAAGGGAAGGGGAAGACAGGGAGGAGGAGGAGGAGGAGGAGGAGGAGGAGGAGGAGGAGGAGGAGGCGAGGCGGAGGAGGCGGAGGAGGAGGAGGAGGCAGGAGGAGGAGATGGAATCAGGAGGAGGAGGAGGCGAAGGAAAAGGAGGAGCGGAGGGGGAGGAGGAGGAGGCAGGAGGAGGAGGAGGAGGCGGAGGTGGAGGAGGAGGAGGGGGGTGGGGAGGTGGAGGAGAAGGAAGGAGGAGGAGGAGGAGGAGGAGGAATAGGAGGAGGCGGAGGTGGAGGAGGAGCAGGAGCAGGAGCAGGAGCAGGAGGAGGAGGAGGAGGAGGAGGAGAAGGAGGAGGAGGAGGAGGAGGAGGGGGGACGATTATGATATCTATCTATGATGGTAATAATAGTATTAATAATAATAATACTAATAATAATAATACTAATAATAATAATGATAACACTTCTAGTAATAGTAATACTACGTCTAATACTAGTAATCATATTAGTAGTAATAATAATGATAATAATAATACTAATCATAATAATAATGCTGATGATGACGATGATGACGATGATGCTGATGATGATGATGATGATGCTGATGCTGATGCTGATGATGATGCTGATGATGATGATGATGGTTGTGACGTTTCTGATGCTGATGATGATGATGTTGAGCATGATGATTCTGATGATGACGATGATGATGATGAACCTGATGGTGATGATGATGATGATGATGCTGATGATGATGATGATGGCGGTGGTGGTGCTGGTGATCGATTTTTCTTGAGTCGCCCAGGTGTCTCAGGATTGTCCCAGATTCTTCCAAATTCTTCTGAATTCTCCCAGACGCCATCAGGTTCTCGCAGATTTTTGCGGATCGTCCGACAAGCGCCCAAGCGTCAAGCGCCGGCAAGATCTTAATCATTTTCGACGCAAAATGCACCCGCTCAGAAAGGAGGGGAACCTTTGGATACACCCCAAGGGGGCTGTTCGGACGCACCCCTACCGAGGTTGGACGCCCCCCACATCGTAGATCCCAGGGTTGGGCCCGAAATCGTTGGTCCACTAGAAGACCCCACTAAGCATGGGATGGGGGTCGACGTGCCCCTTGCCACGGCTGATCGGACCCGGCCGCCCCCCCTCCCCTACGGGACCCCTGGGGCCTCGCGCTGGATCGAATCACACTTCCTCGGGTGTCCTGGGGGGGCGGCCTTCTCCGGCCGCCGCTGCGAAGGCCGGGCCTCCTGGGGCGGCGTGCTTGTCCTCAGACGGTTGTGCGGGCCTTGCTCGGGCAAGGGGCCGTGACTTTTTTTAAAGTCAAACGACAATCCAGGTTGTCGGGCCCGCTTGCCACACCCCACCCCCCTCTCCCTAAGCTCGTTTCGATTCCTCCTAGTCGATTCGACCTCGGACTTCGATGGCCTCCGATGCCGATTCTATTCGGCTTACATTCCGATGTGGGTTCCGATGTCTAACTGGAGGCAGATTAGCCTGCCGATTTCCGCCGATTCGAATCATCCCGACTTAGCTGCCGGTCTCCGCTGATCCGATTTATTTCGATCCCCGATCCGACTTATCGATTCGATTCTGGGCTCTCCTTCTATAACCTGCCTTGTTGGCTGTGCATGTGCGAAAGGAGCTCGCAGTTATGGTTCGAGTATGGCCAGGACCCCAGGTAAGGGGACCCGTTTAGTGGTAGGACCCCGGAGCTTTTGAATTGGCCAGAATCACAAAAAAGAGCAGGTTTGCCATAGCTGGTGTTTTTCGGGTGACGGCAGTTCTGGTTAGTGAAAATGGAACGGGGGGGCGCCCCCGGTACAGATCACTAAACCAGATTCCACTAAACCCAGTTCTGCCAACGCCCGACTGGTGCGCGCGGGCATACGTTACGTGGGGCTGCTCAAGGCGAGAAGGTTAGGTCATCGGCCGGCACGTCCGCCCCCCCCCCCCCCCCGATATCGTGGGCCATCGCCGAGAAGTCGAAATGATTTTCTGGGCGCCTGCTCTTTCCGATGCGCTGCCCAATCCTGATCTCCTGCCCCTCTTTATCCACCCGGCTCGCTCGCCGAAGCGGCAGGATGCGCCACGGATCGCCAACTACGACCCGGTGCAGAAGATCGAGCAGTGGAAAAAGCGAGTCGACAGGGAGATGCGTTCTCCTTTCTGTTCTCTCCTTCCTCCTCCTCCTGCTCCTCCTCCTCCCCCTCCTCCTCCTCCTCCTCCTCCTCCTCCTCCTCCCACGCTGGAGCTATAACACTGGTGCTCGCCACAATTTCGGGAAGAGTGCCTGGGGCCAACGTCCTCAGCTTCAGAGCGCAAGGCTTGCAAGACAGGCCAGCGCGAGGCTGCCCTCATCGTCCAGGATCGGCCTGGGGGTGGGCGTCTTGCACATCGTTGGCCTTGAGGTCGTGCTCACTGTAGGGTCGATCGGGCCCGCCGAATCCCAGTCGGATCCTCCCACGCCGCCTCGTCCTGCTTCTGGCGTTCCCGGGGGCCGACCCACACGGTGCTTTGGCGACTCCGCTGGCCGTTCTCGTTTCGACTCCGTTTTGCAGCACAGGCGGATTGGAGACGGGACGAAGGACAAGGGCAAAAAACAAGACTTGGCGAACGAGCAGATCACACCCATAGCCACTGGGGGGACCAGCGGGGCTATGGTTCAGTCGGGCGTGTCCCTCTACAGGAGGAACGTTCAAAATAGTAAAGAAATAGTCAGGGGACGATTTCTTTGCATATGTTGGGCATTTGAATATTTGTTTGACTATTTGTCATTTTTCGCCCAAAATTCGCCTGTAGGGGGACATGCCCGACCTAAGGCTATGGGTGCGTGTTGTCGGATGGGGGTCCCCGCTCGAGCGGGAGCGTCCCCGGGGGTCCAGCAACCCGCATCCATACCCACAGTCAGTCCTCCTCCCGCCGACCTCCCTGTGGGTATGGGCGCGTGTCTTTCGTTCGTCGAAGACGAAAAACGCTCGGACGGCGCCACGACGAGTATAAATCCGTTCCAGAGCGTTCTGGAACCCTCTCAGAGCCTGCCGGAACGCCCTGGGAAGGCCGCGGCGCCCGACACATCCTCAAGAACCGCGTGATCTCTGTTTCGATTTACCTCGACGGAGAGAACGTCATAAACATAATTTTTGGCGCTCCGCGCGTATTTTTTGGAACCGCGCTGGGGGCCCCCTGGCAGCGCCTCCTGCGCCAACCCTGGCGCGCCTCGGGAAGGGGGTCCTGCGCAGGTCCAAAAGAAACCCGCGCGGAGCGCCAAGAGTTTAGGTCTGTGCCGTTTTTTCTTTTTAGTTGTCATCCTCACAGCACACAGGCGAGATAGGGCAACCGTGCCCTGCGACGGGAATCTCTCTAATGCAGTTCGCTCGCGCACCATCCACAGACCCAAGCAATGTGGATCTCTTGTTTCCCCGAAGTGCATGGATGAAAAAAAACGATCTCGTCCCCAGTCTGGCCTCGTCTCGAGCGCTGTCTCGCCCGAGCACTGCCCTCACCCGTGTCAATTCAAGCCTCGCGCGGCCCGCTTCGCCTCGACCGGAAGAGGTGCGCTCTCGACCCGCGAATCAAAAAAGTGCCATCCTCACCCGATTCTCATCCCCAGCCTGGTCTCGCCTCGAGCGCCGTCTCGCCCGAGCGCGGCGCAGTGCCTCCCCCCCTCGGCGGGAGGCCCCGCAGGAGCTCGGCCCGAGGAGGCGGGGGCCCCCGGGCCTCCGGCGCCCCCCCCGCGGGGAGCTCTCCGGGCCTCCTCCTCCTCCTCCTCCTCCTCCTCCTCCTCCTCCTCCTCCTCCTCCTCCTCTCCTCTCCCCTCCTCTCCTCCTCCTCCTCCTCCTCCTCCTCCTCCTCCTCCCCCTCCTCCCCTCCTCCTCCTCCTCTCCTCCTCCTCCTCCTCCTCCTCCTCCTCCTCCTCCTCCTCCTCCTCCTGAGGGGGGGGGCGGCCGCTCGTCGCCGCGCGCCCGTGCCGTGCCGTGCTCTGTTCTCGGCATCGCTCGGACGTGTGCATTGTTCCTTCGGCGAGGGCCCTGGAGGAGCATCCTCGATCATTTGGCGCAAAAGCCACGCACGAGACCGACAAAAAGCACAGGGAATGGACGTCCAAGCGATGGCCAGTGTTCCGTGGACGGCACCATGGCGAAGCAGCGACTCTCGGGGAACGAAAAAATGACATAGACATAAAAACTCGGATGTCCGCGCGGATTTCTCGGATCCGCGCCGGAGCCCCCTGGCGGCGCCTCCGGCGCCGCCCCTGGCGCACTCCGCGCGCCAGGGAGAAGGGATCCGAGAAATCCGCGCTGCCCTCCGAGTTTTTTGTCATTTCTTGTTCCCCTATGTTCTGTTGATGGCACCATGGCGAAGCAGCGACTTGTCTTAACGGGCGAGGAACGGTATGAACTAAAAACTTTCTCGCTGTCGGGGTCGCCTGTCCCTGGGCGGCTGGGAAGCTTCTGCCCTGTCCCAGGGCGGCTCGAAAGTTTATACCCTCACGGTGGCAACGTTGGGGTAAGTATAAACTTTCCAGCCGCCCAGGGGCAGTCGCCCCCGACGGCGTAAAAGTGTCTTTTTCATACCGTACTTCGCCCGCTGAGTTACAGCAGCGCAGGGGATCGTTTTCTTGTTCATTGTTTTGCCGATTGGCGCGGGCCCTCGCACCCCCCCCTCTCCCACCCCATGGAGTAGATCTTGGCTATTGTTGGCGCCTGTTTCGAGCATGCGGAGTCTCCCCCACAGGACGCACTGCTGCAAACAGTGGCATTAAGCAGCGAAGAAGGGGTTGGAGCAAGCAGTGGCATTAACACTACAGCGAAGCAAGAAGGGTTGGAGCAATGAAGACGGAGCAGAAAGATCGAGACGCCGACATACCAACAGCAGCAGCAGCAACAGCAACAGTATCAACAGCAGCAACAGCAACACCAGTACTTATCATCAACAACAACATCAGCAGCAGCAACAGAAACAGCAAATACAACCACAACAACACCACCAACAACAGCAATCATCAGTTTGAAATTGTTCGCTGTTATCTGCTCGTGGGCCATTCAACACGTACGTCGCAAACCCTCGATACCCGCCTTCTTCGTTTTTGATCGACCCCCTTTTGGAACATATAGGTCTCTTACCTGCAGAGCGTATTTCGTGCAGCCCCTAAGGCAGGGGAAGAGAGGGCTGATGGAAGGAAGGGACAAGGAGCAGGCGGATTGCTGAAGCGTGCATCCACCGTGAGAGCCTGATTCTTGACTGTCGAGGGTGCGGCGTCTGAGAAACGTTGCGTGGCAGTCCCACGCGAGCGCGCGATTCCTGCATAACTTGTGAGGAAATCACGCACGAGAGCGCGATCTTGAACTACCTTGTGAGGAAGTATCAGGCGGGAGTCGTTGTTGTTGTCGTCCAGGGTTTGTAATCGCATTGTGGTGACCTTTCATTTTCTATCACAACGAAAAAAACATCTGCGAGCCCCAGGAAAGAACGCTCAAATTGAAAAATGCAATGGTTTTCGGAGGTGGGGGGATCAACATCAATTATTCTTTGGAGCTGGTAATTCATAAACCATAAGAAGACGAAGCAACGAAACATGACAGAGGAACGAAAACAAATCAACTATCTAAAGATAAGCTTCGGCGCTCCGCGCGTATCTCTTAGATCCGCGCTGGGATCCCATGGCGACGCCTCCGGCAGCGCCCCTGGCACGCTCCGCGCGCCAGGGAGGGCCCAGGTCAGATAAAAAATAGCCGCGCGGACAGTCAACAGTTTATGTTTATGTTTTTTGATCCTCTAGAGGAGCAAGAAGTCATGATAGTGATACTTTCCGGGATTACCAAGGTTTCGCCGAACCTATCAGGGCATCAGTTTCGCCCCATAAAATACCGTTGCCCATGGCTTCGCCCCTGTTTCGGCTGGATCGGCGGAGCAGAGGCAAAGAACACTCGACTGTAGGTGGGCAACTCACAATGACAACACGAGCCTCAGATTGGGTCGTGGTTGGCTCCTTCCTGGTCATGTCGGGCAGACTGGCATAGCCGACAGTTGCAAGTCGTATTCACTTCCATGCGTCACGGCGTGCTTGACCCCGAGACTCGGCTGAGAGGAGACAAATACTGGCGGCAGCGATACGTCTGAGATGGTGTTGGTTGCCGGCAGGTTGGTTATCATTCCCCCGTCCAGTTGCCAGATTGCTCCGAGCTCGTCCGACCCATTTTTATTTACACTGGTGGTTGTCTAGTGGTACAGAAGCTGCCAGTGTCAAGTGTCGGCGGCGGCGGATTTGTCAGCCGAGCTCATCGCTCGCCTTCTGACACCGACGTGGAGGGAGCACAGCCGCTGATTCTCCCTGCGACCTCTTGCTCACCTTACCCCTGCGGGTTTGATCGCTGCTGATGCATCGGACACACCACTGCTGAAGTTCACTTGCGGCGTAAGGTCCCTACGGAAGTTTCGCGTCGCGACGACTGGCGGCGAACCCGCCGCCAGCGTGCAAAATTGAACGCCGCCGGCGACCCAGAATCGGTCGATGTTGAACGATCTGAAGTTTCGGAAACGGCCGGTCTTTCAAGATTGAACGATCCCCGCGCTGTCAGGAACCAACGCCAGGGTCGGCACGACGCGAACCCGCGGCACTTGATCTCGCGTGTGACCGTATGACCGGTTTCTTTTCGTCGCTCAGGTGTGGTTGCTTGTCCTCCTTTCCCCGACACGGCTGCAGCGACGGAGGAGGAGAAGGCCCTGTGCAAGCACATGGGCGCCATCCCGGAGCAGGACCCGCCGCG